ATGAATTGAGGTTTGAAGTCTTTGTTTGCATTTGATCTTATTATTTTTATTGTTGTATTTGATTTGAGAAACTTCTCTCAATCCAGATAGAGTCAATAACTTATATTTATGGTACAATATACAGATTTATTGTTGCATACTACCAATTGAATGTTTATCTCACAAAATCCCCAGAATTTTGGGGTGTCTTGCAAACAACCTGTGAAGTTTAAACTTTTTTCGTCAAATCCCTTACTTATAATTGGCAAATAACATATATGTTGTTGACATTTACATGCACCGTATCCCCCCTTAATTGAGGGTTTTACACAACTAATGTATATACATAAGATAACATCATATTATTGTACGGTAAACACGTGTACTTTGATCATCAAGTCTCATTCTATTAATCAAATTGTATCTTATGTTATTAGACAAAAAATTGAACCCATGAGTATAATTCTTCATTTGCTTTGTCAAGCCATCGTCCTGTCTATTATCCTTATTTTAACTAAAGTCCCAAATGAGACAGAGAAATATAACATACAGAATTAGGGCATGCAAGCACAACGTGATGATGCTTATTTGCACTCTATGCGTACTTGACACAAAAGGATGTGAGCATTTGAATTATTTTCTTCCAAGCGTTGAAAGTGTTTCTATTATTTTTCGCAAGCGTAAGGGTGTTTCTTTTGAATTTTAAAGGATAGGACAACTCCGAAATTTATGAAAGTGAAGCACGAACTAAATTTTAATAAATAAATAAATAAATGAATAATATATGTAGATGTCAGTTGCGTTGGAGAATTCAAACAACTTGACCACCTGTCAAATATGAACCATTTGTGGAATTTACCCTAGCGGATCTTATGTTAAGAAGTGGAAAGAAGAAATCACAGCAAATTAAAAAATATTACAAGAAAAGAGAACACTGAGTTTTAACGAGGTTCGGCAACTTGCCTACGTCCTCGGGATCCACACAAATAATTTCTTTTATATTAAAGAAGATTACAAGCTTGTATAAGAGCAGATCTGAACTTGAGATCTCTCAAGAAAAAAAAAACCAACAGAGACTCTCTGTTGTTTAAATAAGGCACGAGATTTTCCAACTTGGAAAATCTCTTCTCAAGATTCGCTGTAAAAATCGTTACAGGATCATGAGATTTTTCCTCTGAAAAATCTCGGCTCGAAGCTGCTACTGGAGCTCTTCAATAAATAGCCGCCGCCTGGCTTCTATCTTTAATTCGCTGAGAAGAAGCCTTAGCGCATTTTCGTGCACATGGTTCCCTTAAATAGGGAAACCCTAGGGCCAAAACGAGTGGGATCCAGGTGGATCCAACACACAACGCGCAAGCGAGCTCCGTGCACCCAAACATGCGACATCCAGATCCGCTCTCCAAGACCTCGCCCGCACCTCGCCTACAGGCGAGCTCTCG